CATTACTGTATGACACAATGACAGAGAGTTATGAGATGCTGGTGTTCCAAGCTTTTCAAAACTCATTCGTGTGTGGTTCCCAGGGTTTGAACTTTATGTTCATGACTCAAGATTTACTGGTTCAGTCTCTGTGGCCAGGCTCTCCTGTCTCCTGGCCACATGCCATCTATGACTAGTCATTATACTGCATGCCACTATCCACTGGGGAAGCCAAGAATAAAAGCTGTTAGTAGATTGGCAAAAACCAAGGCTCACTGCTGGACAACTCTACACATCTGATAATAGATTAGGGCCACCACCTTCACATGTGTAGGCCAAATTTTCTGTGCTTATCCTAACACAGAGGCTAAAATATGTAGAGCCTTGCACCCAGGGAAATGCATGGGAGTAAATAAACCAGAAGCAACACTTCTCACTTGCTAGTTTTAGCATCTGCCTTAAAACGAACGTGATTACTACTAATGTCCAAACACTGAAATTAGGTGCCATAAACAAAAATGTCAATAGATAAGTTATCATAGTTTCTTTTTTCTTTTTTAGTTATTATAGTTTCTGTAGCTGAAAATATAAAGAACCTTCTCTTTATAACACAAGTGTTTTTAAACAATTTATCCTTTAAAAAAAAAACAATTTATCCTTAAGGTCAATCTAAATGCATGTATATACAATAAAATCTACTCTAGGTGTTTCAGAAGAGATTAGTTTTGATAAATGAGAAAGTATACTACATCACTCTTCTGTACCTAAAACTTGTAAGTGGACTCATAAGAAATTCATGAGCAACACAACCTCTTTGCCATGGCCTGAGAATCCCACAGTCACGCTTCTGTCTACTCCTCTGGCCTTCTGTCCAGCCTGCAGTCTAATCATCACTAATCATGACACTTTAGTCAGACAGTTGGGCTCTGATTATATCAGACCTGCTTCTACTTTGGAGTAATTATTCCTGATACTCCTTCTGGCTCAAAGGTCTTCTGCATGGTCTTCGCTGAACTAACTCACTGACATCAAGGTCTCTGCTACAATGCCACTTGTGCAGAAGTCACTCCTGAGCATCCTATGCTGCACCTGCTCTGAGTCACTGTCTAGCCTGCTTCATGTTTTAACTAGACTTTTCCATCCTTGAGAGCACAGTATGTATTTCTTATTTATTTGGTACAGGGTCTCACTACTCAGCTCAGACTCAGTGATCCTCCTGTCTCGGCCTCCCCAGTCTTAGGATTATAGGCATCTACCCCCACATCTGGTTTTGGGACCAGCATGGTATGCCCGGGGTGCCAGGGCCGGCATGGCATGAGGTACAGGGGATGAAACCCTGGTCCTTCACTTGCCCAGCAGGCGTTTAGACTGCTAAGCTATCTCCCCTGCCCAAATTCCTTTTTTAAAAAAAAATTTCTGGTACCGGAGATCGAACTTGAGACCTTGCACTTGCCAGACAGTGTACATTTCTTATTAGTTTCAGACTTCTAGAAGGTAAGTTCAATAAGGATGTAGAAATACATTTGTGTCAGTTACTTTTCACTTATTGCTGAGACAAAATACCCGACATCCAAAACTAAAGAAGGAAAGGTTTATTTAGCTCACAGTTTGTGGAGGTTTCAGTCCATAGTTGGCAGAGGAGCACATGGCAGAGTGGCTGTCCCTGGCTGCAGAAAACAGCGAAGAACAAAGGGAGAGAGGCAGCAGCTATGGCCTCTAGCAAGCCTCTCTCCCTTCCTTCCATGCTGATTGTGAAGACTGGAGCTTCTCTGAGGTAGTGCATGCAACAAGCTTCCTCAGTTCCAT